GCCTTGAATTGATGAAGAAATTGATGATTGATACAGTGTGACTTGTATTTAAGCATTTATATTTGCATAACAAAACACTTGCACACTGTATGCAGACACTGATGAGGGCGACATGTACTGCTAAATAAAACCCTTGGTACCTTGCTTGTATTCATGGTATTTCAATTTAAACATAGTGTCAGAAAGCAAAGGGCAATTTCAATAGCATCATTCAACCAAATTTGTGTATTGGGCCTAATGTTTTTTCTAGAAAAAAAATTCATTTGACAAAGGTTGACTGAAGTCGGGTAATTGAGTACACCCATACGTGTACATGCATGTACAGTACATACATGTACCATTGCTTGAATGGCACCCAAGTGTTTCAAATCTAGGGTGGTCCTTATAACAAACTGCAGGAAAACATTTTTTTGACTGTCATGCTCTGTTGACAAGTTTGTGGCCACTCTTACTCCCCTGTTTAATGTTCTTCTGGCCGTAGCCATGGTGATCTCAGAATATTAAGAACCAGTTTGCTCTTTAGAATGGCTGTCTAGACAGTTTGGGTGGGATGCCTCAAATGTAGCAGACTGCACATGTCTGTTTTTGATGTCTGGTTTACTGTTACCTTTCGAGTTTGCATATTCAAGTGCTCTAAATTTGGTTAATTTGGCACTTTTAAATTTCAGGATATATATTTTCACAATTTGAGGCTCAAATTATTCAAATTTTGAGCTGAATATCTGGACTGGAGCTCTCTCGGAGCTCAACTGTCATCCTTTATTCATCCTGATTTTTTTCCCTGTGTATTTTGGTCACGGCATGCTTCTTAGCTGAAAGCATTCAAGTACAAAAAAGATGAAAAGGGGGTGTCTGGTGACGATGGAGAAAAACACCCATGTAGACAGAATCTCCTGTTACTTGCAGCTAAATGAAAATCAGCGTACTGAATTGTTTTAAAAGGTCAACGCACGGCACGTGCTTTTCACCCAGAGAAAAGAGGAAACCAGTGTCCAGTGGGGAGTTGAAATCTTAGAGGCACACCTACAACAGGTGGATATCTCGTCTGTTTCATTTCCCGCTTACAGGCATGCAACATTCCCTAAGACTGGCTGATTCTCCCCCCCCTGAATGTACATGTATGCCCTTACAAATTAAGGACTCTTCAAAAGTCTTGTGCAGTTTGGAATTCCTTTTTTCTCTCTTGAAATTTCCAGTCGCATGTCAGCTCCTTCAAAAATTGCCCTCCCCACAATTTCCAGAGAAGAAACATTTGAAAAATAAAATTTTGCTGACTAATTTGTAACGTGTGGTTAGGTGAATGGATTTTCTTGTGTAGGCAAATAGCAATTAGTCAAGTGCTTAAAAGCATCTTGTTTTGCTTTTTATTGAATGAATGAATATTTTTCTTCAAGATCTTTACCTAGTAGTTTCTAAGTTAAAATCCTGATATTAATCCTGTTGGTTTATTAAGACTAGGCATTTGGATATATTGTTTGATCAGAGTGTAAATTGAGTTGGTCTATTTATACACCATCCGTGAAGATGATAAACACATCTCTTTTTTCCCTCGCTTGTTGTTGCTGTAATCTAAGGGTAAGCCTCCCTTGTTGCCAAGTCTCGTAGCGCTGGACCTCCCAGCCAATCAGCACCCGCCTGTTGCGTTGACCATAGCTGTGACCCTGGGAGGGACGTTACAAAGCCAATTACATTCGCTCTTCTGTGCGGGAAATATAATACTCCTCATGCTGTGAATGCATTTCAGTCGGCCTTTTTTTTTTTTGGCGTTCAGCGTGGAAAGCAATTGCATGCATGCATACAAGCAGGTAGTAGATTCAGAATCCCAGTGTACATGTACTTGTCTTGAGTATTAATTTGAGTGCAGGGTAACTTGTAAGTCACACTGTAAGAATTCTAATGGGGGGAATCAATTTTTGCCTAGAAATTCTATTTTTTTGCTTGTACAAGGACATCGCCATACAAAAAACCTTAAAATTAAAAAAAAAAGCCTTGAAAATCTATGTACATTGTACATGTATGGCATGTGACAGCATTAAGTTGATTTCAGAATTTTTTTGTACAAGCATGTACATGTAAAGCAATTTTATCTCACACTGGAGGAGATAAAATGATTTGGTAATCCATGAGAATGTTGGTGATCTTTGAGAATTACTGTACATGTTAGTCCTGTAAATTACTGTGCAGGCTACATGTAGCTAAATGGTATTTGTTCTACAGCATAAGTTTATATTGGCAGCTCAGTGTTGTTTGAAGAGGATAACCTACACTGTGTTTAAGTGTACATGTGCATAAGGCCAGTGTTGCAATGATTGGCTATGGAGGAGATTAACTCATAAAAATAAAGGGAAGCCACTGCACACATTATCCAGTTGCTTCCAGAGGCTGGTTTGATATTTCCATCCATGGCCAGTTGGTTTGAACATGGCCAAATATATTTACATGGATATCAAAATGTCTTTCTCTCTGGTCTTGATTGATGTATCCTGATGGCTGTGTTCTGATGGCTTTGCCCTAATTTTTCAAATTAATATTTATTGTGGGATTGTCACTCTGTGATGTTCAATCATTTTTCCACAAGACTTGACATGCAGACATGTAATGTACATGTGCCGTATGAGAAGTACTATACATGTACATGTATGCAATAAAATCTGCAATGCAAAAAATCAAAATTTGATGTTACATGTGCATGTACATGTATACATATGAACTTGTATACTTTTGCAATGTACCAGCAGGAAACAATAAATTTATGGATTAAAACCGCAGTAGTGTACTTTTACATATTTTCTGCCTGCATTGTGCATGTCACCAGATGAACATGATATCAACTGGACTGTAGTATGTGCAGTGACATGCAGAACAGAGAAAAAGTATTGGTTACGTGTACATACTGTACATGTACAGTTATGCATTGTGACAAATGAATAGGGGTTAGCAGTGTGACGTGAGCTTGATCTAGAAAGAAGTGTAAAAGACATCATTTCCACTCTGTTTGGTAGACTGTCTTCATATTGATTCAAGGCAGTGGACATGATTTCATGTACCATAGCTGTAGGTTGTATAGTAGCTAGACTACGCAGAACTGGCAGTGAGCATGCCTTTTTGATCAGGAGGAAGAGGTCATGGAGGACCTACATGTACCTGTACCATAACTACCATGTAATCAGGGAGATTAATTGCTGGCTGGCATTGATTGCCTTATCTCCAGTCAACAAACCATAAGCACTTCCCAGGGTTGAGGAAAAGGCTTACCAGATAAATTAAATTTATTGAGGGTAAACAGTTCCACTTGTCTTACAACCCAAAAGAAAAGCAATAAACATGTAGGTTCATCCCAGAGCATAGACTTTCGGCATAATTCCACCATGATCCCACCTACTGGTAGTTGCATGTGCCAATGTGCTTCCAAGCCGTGATGCAGTTTTCATGTCACTTCATACATGTAGTTGGGAAGTAGTTTTTTATGTGGTAGTAAAGAATTTTGGAAGCCTTTAGTGTCATAACATGAACTCTCATATCTTTATTATTATCAATTCAAATATTTCACATATGTACATGACGGTGTCAAATTTTTGATTGTGTTAAAATTGCACGCGGATTCTTCAGAATGTCTGTGACAGAAATAATTAGCATTGTCCAGTTCATTGTCTGAAAAACACAAGGGCGTCCTTTTAGAGCAGTTTTTATTTTCAGTGGACATGCTGGTACGTGTAGCTCAGGTATATGTATATAGGAAAATAACAGGTTAGTTATTCTGTTCATATGCCAAAATGCTACCGGTACACTTGTTCGTTTGCCACAGGTCTCATAAATATTTGAGTACCGGTAATTCCAGAAACTAGGGTTCCATTTTATTTCGTGTCCCTGTCACACCTGACATGATTTTGTAAGTTCCGAACACGTTTTCTAATTTCCAAGGGTGATGAATTAATGCAAATTACCTACCAAACAACTAGTAATAGTTTGGAATCAGCTCTGGTGATATTTCCATGTCAAATAACAAAGGTCAGATGTAAGAGGGACACAAAAATGTGACACTTTTGGACCCCTAATTTCTGGAATTACCCATTTAGTGTACCGGTAATTTTAATCAGATATTTTGTGTTTCCTTTTTTCAAAACAAAGAGAAAGGGCTGCCAGCAACAAAAATTGGTTGACTTTGGGCTTTCTGTATGTACTGTATGTTGTATTTTTTCAGTTGTGAATTTGATATACCGGTACAAGGACATATCCATGTATATGTTGTATGCAAAAGGTTAATCACTATACATTTATGGCTCTAAGTTTGCATTGAAAGAAAGCACAAATTTTTAGTGTCTTGTTCCTCGATACATGTAAGTCAATGTTGCAAACCGTGGGCATATATTTTGCAAAATATACCCATTTATCACCACATACATTGTACATGTACACCGAGAGTCTGAGGTGATTGCATGGAAATTGCAATGTTCTATTGCCTGCCGTACATCTGTACTACAAAACTCTGTATTTGTTGACCTGCATATTACGGATTTCTTCCAGATTCGTGATCGGCCAACTGACCCCTCCATCTTTCCACAGTGGCGACTCGTGGACAGGAGGGATTAAAAGGATGGCTCAGCCCTGGAATGCCGGCCTGACACTCTGAGGTCATCACGGCCCCTGTTATCGTTCTATCATCATCTGTTTTCGACCCAGCACAACAACAACAGACAGGCTGCTGCGGCGAGGGGACAGCCCATTGGATATACGTGTGTGCATGCTGCTCCAGCCGGAAAGTGAAACTGGTATATGCTTTGCTTGATGAAGATGCTGCAGGCTCGACCTTGCCAGTGACGCTGATTACGTCAATAGCCAGTCTAACCTCAGAAAACCCTGCAAGCCCTCTCAACATCCAGAGAGAGAGAGAGAGAGACAGAGCCAGTTGGGTGATAGGTGAGTCTTATTACCTTGGCTTCCCATCAGCTCTAGCTGTGCGGTGGCCAGTCAGTGACTGACTGCTTAATGTGCAGCAGTGCTGTAGGATAGACATTAGCATACATGCACACAGAGCAGTGACTGCCTGGTGTGCGTGTGTGTGTGGGCATGTACAGTACATTGTATACCACTCCACACTGTGCATGAACAACACATCTGGTCAGGCTTGGCTGCCAGCCTCTTTACCCTGTGTGGTCATCCTGCACACTCATTCACAGTGCACACACACACTCAGTCAGCCAAGCTGACTGAAGTGAAGGGTCTTGTGAGGGTCAGGTCTGATCACCCTAGTTGCCTGTATGCAACAGTGTGTGAGAGAGGGTGGATGTGGTTGAGTGGGCATTGCACTGTATTTACCTTTACAGAAAGTTAAAACCCACCACTAAAATTCCTGACCAGGCTTGATCAGTCTGGAGATTGTTTGCCTGGAAAAAGCCACAGTGATCCAAATACTGTGGTATATGACAGCAGGCACGGTGGGAGTTCCATTCATGACCAAGGACCAGGGCTTCAGCGGCGCTGTGTGGGTGGAGACAGGAGACAACCAGGAAGTACTGATACATAGAGACAGTGCATTTACATCCTAGGGTGTGTGCATTTGGCTGGTGGGCTTTCAGGTAGGTGCATGCTTTAGCGATTGTGCACAAATGGTCCCATCACGTTACCATGGCCTTCATGAGCAGTGAGTGAGAACACTACTACTGAATTTGTTTTTGTTTTTTTAATTTTTGCAACTTCTGCTGGTAAAGCTGCCTTACTATTTACATGTACATTTGCACGTAAATGTACCAGTGCAGTGTACAAAGTGTGTGTATTAAGTGATGTGTCATAAGTAGCAAAATGTTTTCTGTGTATGTACTATGGATAGGTCGAAGTTCTCGACACATTATACATCAATTGACCATTTTTGATGGTTAGGCAGTGAAGTTACCATAAAAGCCTTCTGGTAGTTATAATTGTATACAGGTGAAGACTGTCGGAAAGTTTGTTCTTACATTTGAAGTTAGTGATAGTATTCCTCTTCAACTTTATTTCGTGTCGGTTGTTACGCTATGACGTTACGTTTCTCGCTGCCACATTGTCATGTCAAGAAGGGGACTTGATGGTACTGTATGGAATGCATCTTTGCCGAGCACGATTGAAAATTCTTGGGGAAATCAGCCACAGTTCTAAACTTTTTGCGAGGGAAATATTTCTCAGCATTGTCTTTGTCCGAAACCACCCCTGGTTAATGACGTACAAGGAGATGCAAAAATCATGTTGAGACTGGAGGATTTGAGACTGTTCTGGTCAAGGTAAATTTGTGGGGCCATATATGAATAATAGAAACGTTGTTGTTTCAGGTTTGTGTGTGAATCGGATTGGTCCTGACAAGCAAGCTTCCCACACCCAACTCCTCCCCTCAGTCTTCAAAATTTTTATCACCACCTCCCTGGACGCAGACACAAGCGCAGTCTCCTTGTGGATAACTCTACAATTGCACCCCTCCTTCGTCTTTCTGCCTTGGATTCTACGGGTTCTCTGCATTCCACTTTCACTTGATTTGCCAAGGCTCCTGGGAAAAAAGGAAGCCAATTTTTGAATCAACATGCAGTGGGATAAGCTAAGTCCCGGACAGTTTGAGCAGTTGCTGGACTACGTCACCTGTAAGTCAAAACCTATTTTCTCATCTTTTGACATCATAATGCTGACGTTTTATTCCTGAAATGATTTCCTCAAAGCTGTTCAATAAAATCCTGATTTGATTTAACACTTGTGGAAACGTCACTCACACTGATATGATTTGATTATGATCCACCATTTCATTCCCAGTTATTGGGCTCACTGTTGCAACCACATAAAGTAATTTGGTTGTTTGTACTGGGGAGCAATGTCGTTGACAGGGAAGTTCTGGCACTGATCACCAAGAGATGGTGAAGATCTACACCAAGTCTTTGCTTTGTCAAAGACTTGCTGAATGACATCAAACACACTCTGCCGACCTGAGCCAGGTCTTTTACTTTCTGTGACCACAGAATTGCACAGAGAATGTCTAGTCTCTGGTGCTGGACTGTGTACTTGTACACATGGGTGCAGTTTGGCTGTCATAACCACAAACTGATTTGACTGTTTCTCTCTGATTAATTGTATAAGGATTTGAGTTCTTGCCAAAGAAATGTATGCATACACCAAATAGAAAAAAACAACAGGACAAATTCTTGATCATGCCAAAATGCACCCCATTTCAAGGAAACATTGGTTTCATTTGTGCATAAAGTATGTTATTCCTGTATTTCTCAACCTGTGTGTGTTTAATAACCTCAGTGTTTTGTGTGAAACCCCTCATCAGGAATGAACATTTTAGTTATCTTGTTAGTACAACTCAGTACCGGAGCATCTCAACAAACCTAATGTTGCCACTTGCTGCACTAAAGAGATCAGAAATTGAGAATGTGAAATTGACGTCATCCAGTGCACTTTTTTTCCCTTGGCACAAATGTGTAAACAATATCTGATGGGATTTACTGTACACCTCGACAAAAACTTGCTTTTAACACCCATGTTGTTTACAGGCCAGATTTCCCGGCAGCTTAGACATTTTGTTTTCAATCAACACTTGAACCATTCATGGGCATGCTGTCAGAATTTCTGCGGATTCTGGCACCGTGTGGAATGAGAGTGCTTTCAGGAGACTTTGGATAGATATGACTGTTCTGGATACCTCAAGCTCTCAGTATCAGGAAAAGGTGCTGGGAAAAGTTGACAGGGAAAAAAGTTCATGTGCCTATTGAAGTTGACATTTTGCAAAGAAATGCCCCAAATTGTTGGATCAGGAACCAGTAACCACACAACAGAGGCATAGTTTAGATTAATACAGTCTCATGAACATACATGAACATGTATGTACCGGGTCGTTCCACTTGATGTTTATGCTTCATTTTAAAGAGGGCATTTTCAGAGCATGTACTATACCCGTAGCAGTTCAGCGGACAAACCACATTTGTGTCACATGTTTTGATATGGGAAATAGAGATTACTCATCCCCTTGTGTGTTGTTAACCAGACTTTTGTGATGTGACTTTGATTTGCCACAGGAATGAGTTGTGAAATGATTTATGATGGACGTGACTACAATGCTTGATGTTCCCCTCTAGGGAATTCAGGCTGACAAGATTTAACCAATGTTCATAATTTCACTTTCTTAACCTACCCTGTATTGGTACACTGTACATACATGTACATGAACCTGTTTGTACATTTAATGTACCCTTCCTAACATTCATGTATTTTTTAGTAGTGATATGCAGCCTTATGGGGGTTTGTTGCTAGCAACTGGGTACTAATCGAGAATATCTTATGTGTACTCCTACACGTAGCTATGTACTTCCCATGTTACGTATATATACATGTACGTACATGTACCAGCAGTTTTGCAAAAAATGAAATGTACTGTAAATGGACCATACATACACATATACATATATAAGGTATACCATTACCGTACACGTAAGAAAGACAACAGCGTGTACATGGTAAGTGGACTTCGTAGTCTCTGACATGAGCAAAGGTCTTTTTGAAAGCTTCAGTCAGGATGACATTGCTTTCTTCATCTCCTGTCCCCTTTGCTGTTGCTGATATCTTGAGCCAATTACTGTAACTTGGCACCTGATCACAAGTAATCGGCTGTCTTTGATTTCCTGGAAGAGGCAATTCACATTCATGCCGGTTTCTTCCCTCTCAGTCCAGAAATCTTTTTTTGCGTATGCGCGTTGCATTCATCCAATATTTCAACGGTCAGTGAACCACTTTCGTCCCCTTGCATCTTGAGGGACCATTTTTTTCAGCGACAAAGGGAAGAATTCCATAAGCAAATGTGATTCATACACGGTACGTCTTTTCGTAGTGCATGATTGATAGCATAACTCAGGACTTCAACCGCGGCCTCTGGGAACTGAACTTTCAGCTGCGAATTTCTTCCCCAGAGAGTTAAGGCCACACAATGTGTATACAAAACATCTAATGACTGAAAATATGGCATTTCATCTCTCTCCAATTATTGATTATGAGACACAGGTGCATGAATCACATGCTTACATGTAGATGGACAAAATGTTCACAGCACCTCACAACCGGCACCTACCGGTACTGTATGTCAGCCTCTGATTTAAGTTAATATTTAAGTAAACATTTTTGTTTGAAGGCAGCACTCAAGGTTGCTTTACAGCTGCCCATACCTGTATTTTGCATGTGATAGATAAATCACTTTTTAATGAATTGAACATTGTGTTGTTACAGAAACTTTGCAGCCTGGTTTGATACAGTGTGAGTGCATACTGTAACATTACCCAGGAGTTGTACGCTGTGGTTATGTGGAAGGACAACGTGTAGTTTGAACCATCACATTCAAAGTTGTAGTACATCTGGATCAAAAATTGGAATTATCCCATGTCTATGTGGAGATTCAGTGGTACATGCAACATGGTACACACTTCCCCACCCCCCTTCCTGTCAGGCAAAATAACTTAGCTTTGTTGATGGTTTTGGGGGGAATAATTGCTGGGAAGCACCTTCAATATTTCACATACTGGCATTTGCCTTTAAACAGAGACACGTGTTGTTGGCTCTTGCAGAGAAAATGCATACCAGTAAAGACATGATCAAGTTGACACTTGAAGGTCTTGCCATTCCATCATTCTATGGAAGCTCATTCCAACCTTGTCGACATATGACTTTCCAGAATAGTGGCCTCCGAAAATCCCAGTTCCTGGCACCCGCATCAGAGTGGAACTTAAGGATTGCTGTTTGCAACTGGAGCCTTTTGGAATTGCTTGTTCCAAATACATGTACATGTACGGTATGCACTTGAAGGAATGAGCATACTACATGTAATCCTAACATTGTGCAGTGTAATGGCATTAAGAGGGTTACATTTGTGAAAAGGTAGAAAGGTGCTGATAATTTGTTAGTCCTTGGACATGTATACAATGTATACATGTACATGTACATAATTGTACAGTTAACAGTTAAACACAGTGCTTGTATATCCTATCTGTTAAATAGCACCAACAGGCATAAAATGCACCTGTGTTTGATACAACCCTGCAACAGCTGTGTCATGTCCTCAGTCTGAAATGCCATTTGTCTTCTCAGGACAAGCGTGAGCAATTCAAAGGTCACAAATGGGATTTGTTGAGGATATCCTTTAAAAAAAATTGAAGATATGGTAATCAATTAAACAGTGTCAATGGATGAGAGCATTTCATGCATACCGATATCTGCCTCCTGGTGAAGAGACATCAGGAACAATTACAAAACAAAGTGGAAGCAAGGTCGGCTGAATGTGCCCCTCAGTTGGTTACTTGCTAGTTTGAGCCAGACACCAATAATGATGCTTCAGACATCAGTTTGTCTGGTCTTGCTCATGCTGGTGTATTTGAGGGGCCTTTCTGACTGTCTGTCTCCGTCTGTCATATTCGTTTGTCCTGATTCTCGTGAACCTACCCTTAAAGTATATATTTTGAAAACGTGTGACTTTTTTGATTAATGTATAGGATGGACTAGATTTTAATTTCTTTTTTCATTTACATGTGGAAAAAAATTGGGCAAATTTGTTTTGCCTGTTTATGAACCTTGAGTCCATCAATTGTGGCACACATGTACATGTAAGCACATGTACTGGTATCGAACACGTGCATGTCAAGATGTTGGTTAAAATAAAAAATTGTTTTAGGATAATTCAAAATGTCAGTCACTGAGAAAAATCAGATTGACATACATGTACTGGTAAGGGAAAAAAACCAGGAGATTTAGTTGTGTTCTTTTTTTAATGAAAACTAAATATTTCCATTGCCGTCATCATTCTCAATGGACATCAGACCAGCTTTTTAAAGGCTTTGGTCATTTGATGCTGTTTTTTCATACCTGTGCATGTTCATGTGGGAGGTTGTTTCAAATTTCAAGATATATCAGTTTACAATATTACCTTGAGAATTTTTGGAAATATGGCACTTGTACATTTATGTTAATGTTACACAACTGTTTATGGGAAATTGTGCACATACAAGTTTTCCCCTTTCATGTTCGCGAGACGAGGTATTGTATTGCATCAGTATGCAACACACGTCGGAATTCATTCGTAAAAATAGCAATCCACTTTCATCTTGCTGAGAGGTTATCACGTTTTTGGGGCCATTACAATTGGATGTGATTTGGTGGCATTAAAATTGCAGATGTTTCCACTGTTTCCCCTGTGGGTGGAAAGCGCCTGGATGTGATAAGGTTTTCCACCGAGAGCCCACAGGACAGATACGTGTATTTTTTGGTCTGTATGAAAAAAGGTGAGCTCATCAAATGGCATGCTTCCCAGTGGAAACACGAGGGAAGTTGTGGTTTTTATTAATTAAGGTCAGACTTTTTTTTTTGTTCTCATTCCTTTTTTAAAGAGAGTATCTACCATAGTGTGTGACAATGCACGGCCCTTCAACACGGCAAGTGAGATCTGTGAATATTTGTGACACATGGCCTTGAAAAAAATCAAATCTGAATATGACAACATTGACTGGTTTTGCAATGAGGTTTTACACGTGTACATGTACATGTGTGGGATCTTATTTGAATTTATCTCATCATTTTGTTGTGTGTACATACATATACATGTACATGTGTA